TTTTTGAAAGGTGAGTATATGAAGCTTTCATAAATCTTATTAAAATACTATTCAAAAATTATTTCTCAAAATCTTGTTACAAATAAAGAAATAAATTATCTTCATGAATAAAAAATACAAACCAATGTTGAAATTATTTTATTAAAAAAATAATAATTAACATTTTCTTTAAAATAAATATCAACAAAGAAAGACACATTTTTACCCCAAACTACATGGGTTTTAATCCTTCTAAAGGGTGCGTAGGCCTTAAAGTTTTATCATAGATTAAGTCCAACTTATAAATAAATAAAATATTTCCTTTCATTTTTTTTTACTTTATTATCTTATTAAGGATAATTAAGATATTTTTTAAGGCCATAAAAATTTATATAGTTAATTTAAGGTAACAATTCATATGAATGGGTGTTGTGGGGTGCCTACTAACTTTCTTATACACAATTAACTCCTATACCATTTTCTTTATATACAAAGCACCTGTCAAAGATGTTTCTAATATTATCCTTCAAAAATTTGGTGGTGACTCAAACATTTTTTATTTGATTTTGCTTCTTCAAAAATTCGAATTCAGGTGTGACAGTTGTGATAGAGAAACTAAATGAGAAATAAACCTCCTAGACCATAGGACTCAAGCATCTCCACACGCAAGCCCTTTGGAACCCAAAAAGCCTAGTCACAAATCTCCATCTCCGAGCCTCCAATTTGCTCTTCAAAGGTTATGGACATTGCTCACTAAGCTACTAGATGAAGAATCACACAGCTGAAGAGGAAGCAAACGGAAAATATGAGGACAAGGTTCATAGAGAAGTGATGAATTTGTATGCATTGAATTTTGGGAAAATGACCATTAGGGACCCTATAAGAATATTATTGATAATTATAGATCTTGAATTATTAAAATTTTAATAATAGTAAGTAATTCTTACTTGTCATAAATTATCTAATTTGTCGATTGGCTTGAGATTCATATTAGATTTTAGTGAATTTCTAACTAACATTGCAAAAAATTTCTAGCTATCTTTTGTTGATTTCTCAAGCGATAGCAAAAAATCATAATTAACTGGCTTATAATTCACAATTGACTTAGTAAATTTCCTATTGATGTGACAAATAATCCTAAGTGTATTAATAGATTTTTCAAGTAATTTTTGTATATATTGATAGAAAAAAAAAGTTCACAAGTAATTGGCTTGCGATTCATAACTCTTGTAAATTCTAACTAACATTACAAATAATCACAAATAATAATTTGCATAATTACAACAAAAAATCAAGATCACAATAAACTGTCTTAAATTCCTAACTGATATTACAAATAATCTTAAGTATATTTAGTAGATTTCCTATCTGACTATTCACATTTTTTTATTGCAAGTAAGAATCATAATCTATTATTAAGATTTTAATAATTTATAGTCTACGATTGTCATTAATGTTCTTATAAGGTTTCTAATTGTCATTTTCCTTTTGATATTTTTTTATTTGTTCAAGAATATGAGAGAAAATGAACAAAGATAATAGAGATGATGGGAGAGGGGGTCTCCCTTTTTCCCCTCCATTTCCCTAATCCTTGCCGTTCAAATTATTTTATTAAATAATTTTTTTAATTATAAAATTAATGAATGGTGAAAATGGAAAATAATGGAGAGTTCCTATATCCTGGTGGGGTGTTCTAAATAGAGAGAAGCATGAGAGAAGAAGACGGAGAGAATTGGACCTCAATGTGTGAATTCCAATTGAATTATCACATAGCATGAATAAATGTGTACTCCCTCTATACCTATATATAAGGTATTTTTAATCGAACCTCATATATCAATAAAGGTTTGTTATTTAGTTAAACTCACATTAAAACATAATGATTTTCTAATTTTACCCCTAATAATATTATAATTAATATTATGATGGTGGTAGAAAAAATATGTTATCAATGATCTATTCCATTTTTCAAGACAAGGATAAAATTATCTAATTACTCAAAAATATTATTGTTATCCTTTATATTTAGGGACAAAATAAGCTTTTAAAAAATACCTTATATATAGACATGGAGGGAGCATGTTGAAATGTTGATTGCAAGTGGTCAGCACGTGATTATTGGAATGAATAAAGTTGAGTAGGCGGTGGAAGAAAGACTACAAAAACAGAGGTGAATGAAGCTTTTGAATCAATCAATCCGTGGACAAGCTAAACTTGAATGTTAATTTGTGAAATAATGGATTTTGAAACCATACAAATGGTTTGGCCAAAAAAAAGAAAAGAAAAGAAAATCACACAGATGGCTAGCACATGGATTACTTGTTGTTGAGAGAAGAGAAAGAAGTGAATGAATCAAATCTGAATGCGTTGCCCAGTGGACCAATGAACGCGTCGCCCAGTGGACTATTTTATTCTTTATCCTCTTCCTTATTTTCTTTTTCTTTAACTCTAATGTACGTAGCCACTGCTCTAGGATTAATTTAATCTCCATAAATCTCCTGAAGTGGTGCCATTCAGTTTTCTTTCGTGATCAATTGATAGATGTTTTGTACATTTTATTTCAAGCCACCTACACATAAAATAATAAGATCAATGCAAAATGTATTTTAGAGAATTAAAAATAATATATAATAAAAATTGAAAAAATATGTAATAAATTTAAAAAAATTCTATAAATATACCTTTTCTCTCTAATCACAATATGACCAAATTATTTCCAAATATATCAAAATGAATGCTAAAAATCAAGATATGAAAGGTAAAAATATGTAGAATATGCAAATTATCAGTATCCCCAAAGTTTTCTCTACTTCCGCTTTTTTTTTTTTTTTTAAGGGGTGCATTGATGACTAAGTCTCCTCATTAACTCCACCCCTTTTAGAAACTTGAAGTGGGGCTTGGGTCAAAAGTTAGATTTTATCCTGAAAAATTGTACTTGGAGCAAACAGGATAGTATCTTATATTAAATATCATCAATCTCTTTTAAAAATACTTTATAATAATGACTATAAAGATTATTTTTTTCACAAATATTTGGTACAATATCAATTTTTTCAATTAATGCTCTTAACTTTTCTAACAAAATTAATGCTCTCAATATCATAATCCATTTTAATTAGTTCATTGATTTTAAAATATAAATCTTCTGAGATTTTAGCACACTGCCGATTAAGAAATACAATTAATTAATACATCAAAATATTGACCACATTACTAAATTTGCCCTAAATTGAATGCACTAAAACGTTTTCACATTACAAATAAATAAGATGTAATAGGAAAATTCTTATAAATGTCGTTATAAATGTCGCTTTTGACTTCTAAAGAAGACATATAAATATAGACATGCTTTTTTTCCTAATTATACATATTATGTAATTAATGAAGTATTTAATAAAATATTTAATCTCTCCATTTTTTATTATAAAATAAATTTTCATATATGCTTCATTATTCTTTTTTTAATAAGCAAAATCAAAAATTCTATAAGAATTTATGATATTTTTCTTAATTGTCAATCATAAAATCAATGTTTATTTTTACGTTACAAACTTGTTTCATTAATTCACTCACTTTAGTCCAAGTTATTTTAACTCCAAACTAATTATTTTTTTAAACTATGTGAAATAATAAGTATATAAAATAATATTTCAGGAATCAAATGTCATTAATAGTATTAAATTCAATTCAGTTATGAATTTATTGTGGATATGTGCAATTATTATACCCCATTGATTCTGTTATGAATTTATTCTGTTATGCTCTATAAATAATTGTCAAACATACCATTGCTTAGAACACACACACATTGGATTTTTGTTGATGCGACAGTGAAACAAACTGAGACGTTATGGCAAATGTCGTGATTGTTCGCTTTGCCTTTGTTTTGATCCTTGCACTAGCATTTGTGGTTCAAGTTGCTTATGTGAGTTTATTATTCTCTCTTTCTCTTATTTATCTTCCCATGCATGAGATTTCAAGCATATTTTGTCCTCATATACTTGTTTTTAATTAAATCAGGCATACATATTTTTGTCTATTATTTTTTGCATAATAAACTTTTTTATTAATACAATAAACATTTTACAATCCATGTGTTTTGATTTAATTAATTAAAAATATGTTAAATATATGGAATTAAGTACATAAATATTCATACCTCTTTAATTCAAGTTTTTTTTACACAATTTTTATTTTTAAATTTTTTTGTTGATTTTCGTTTTATGAAAAGTTATTCATATGTAAAAGTATCTTTAGGTACTTACATTTTATCACTTCAATCATTTTCTTAAGAATTTCTGGTATCATAAATTTATTTGCAGTGCAATTCCTCCCTTTAACATTTGAAAACAATACATTTGGTACCCTACCGTAAAAAAAAAAAAAAAGAAAAGTTATTTTTTACCATTACTTATACTAAAAAATATAGAAGATGACCTAACAAATTATAGAAATAATTCAAAAAAATTAAAAATAAGTATCATATAAGAAAATAAATACATATCCTTGTATTACAAATAAACAGAAAGTGGTAAATTCTATTTCTTACCTTTCTAAAACATCATTATATAAGTTTGACCAACTACAAGGTGATTAAAAATAATATATTTGTCTAGATAATATATTTTGTTAAAAAATATATTACCACCATTACTATCAACAATACATGTAGGCAGTTGAAAAAATAATACATTAAAATATTAATACTTCAAATTTATAAGAAAATGTATTTTTTTTTACTTTGTTTAAGCTTTAAATTAAAGGATAAAGGTATAGATTTAGTCACAAAATTAAAATTATTTTATGAGAAACATTTGATATTTTATGTTATAGGGAAGTGTAAAATAAAGTATCAATTATTTAAAATATAGTGCCCAACAACTGTCCTTAAATTGAGAGAGACACCGAGATGTTTATTTTCCTTGTGGTGCCCACATTTGTTTACATTTTATCTCTCTGACCCAAATCTCTCTTTCACCCACTCCACATGCCACTGAGCTTCTTCAGCAATATAGCTTCATCTAAAGGGCCAAAGCCATGAGAGACAACAAGAACAAAGTTGAAATCGAAAGGAGTTCACCAAGAATCTGAAACTCAATGAAGAAGGCGATTATAGCAGTAGCAGAAATCATAATCACTGCGGCGTTAATGGGTTTCCTTGTTCCCTGATTCACTCGAGCTAGCCATGAAGTAGCATATAAGTACGAGCAATATGTGTGAGTTACCTCGCTTCACCTACGGCCATAATAAGCAGCACACTTGTCATTCCCTTTGTCGTCTATATCAGAATTTTTCTGCATACATAGTGTTACAGCTAAGAGGCAGAATCTGAGAGTGGTGATCGTCATGGAGCCTACGAGGCCAAGAGGGATGTCTCTTCCAGGGTTCTTCGTCTCCTTGGCCATGGTTGAGATGGTGTCGAATCCAACATAGGTGAAGAAGATGCCATGGGTTCCAAACGGGGAGTAGTTGTTTGGGTTGGCTTTGGTAAGGTGAGATTCTTTCGAGGACTAGAGTGAAATCGTCGGCCACGAGAGAGACACAGAGAGAGAGAGAGAGAGAGAGAGAGAGAGATTTTGATCAATGAGCAGAAACGATGACGAATCTTAAGGCGGAAAAGGACGACGAAGGCTAGGGTTAGGTACAGCGACTGGTTGTGCATCTTTCCTTCCTATTCTTCTTTACCGACTATATGCATCCTTCTTCTTCCCTTTTGTCGATCGCTTTCACCAACATCTCTTCGTTTCGTCGGGGATCGTGTACCCATCCTTCGCAGATTGTGCTTCACACTTGATATCTGAGAGAAAATGGAAGCTGGGAAGAGAGACAGAGGGAGTGTGTGTAGCAGATGAAAGTTGGGTGATGCAAATGGCCATGATTGGAAAATTAACGGAGGTGTTTGGCGCTTTGTTTTAAATAATTAATTCATTTTACACTATCTTATAATATAAGATATTACGTACTCTTCAAAAAAATAATTTATTATTAAATTTACATGTTTACCCTAAATTAAAACAGTGAATGTTTACAAAATTTATGCTAGTGTAAAAAACAGATTTGTTTATAAATCTTATATTGAATTGTAAATTAACAGAGAGATGTAATTAACTTATCAAATATTTATTAAAATTGATTGTGTTTAATACACTCAATAATTATAAATATAATTTTTTTCTTATATATGTCATTTCAAACGAAATATTGAAATTAAATTGAATTTTCTTCCATACATCCACTCACATTTGTTATAATTTTTCTATATCATATAATTGCTAATTAAATATTTTTTTCCATCTCAAAATGTTCAGGCTAGCAGAGAAGGATTGTTTCATCCAGAATGTAAGTATATGTTTGGGCTAAATATGAAACATCGCTTAAATAGATTATATGGTTAGTTGGGTTGAATAATTGAAGCGTCATACTCAATATAAATGAAAGGAGCCGGCATTGAGGCTCAATAAAGGCCATAATAAGTAAACATGCTGAAATCCTGTTAGTTGTAAATTAGACCGTTGGCATGAAGATATGATCTTAAGTAATGTCGAAACCTATGCCCAAGTATCTTGATGAAATGGGTTAGTTACCAAAATGGAGAGCATGGAATAAAGACCGTGCCATGAGTTTTATGACATCTTTGATTCTTTGGCAAAACGTGCTAGGTTTCAATGAAAAGACTACCGCTACCCTGACACTATAAATAGAAGAAGAAAATACAAAAGAAATTAGTCAACACTCAATCAAAGACTCGCAATTTTATTTTCATTAGCACTCTGTAGTTTTTAGTTTTAGGTTTGTAATCTTTTCACATTTCAATAAAATCAGACACTTGTTCTACCAAAGCTTTGTATCTTTTTATATCCGAGTAAACTGTAGCAAGGGAGCTTGGAACCCTTTGTTATCAATTGAGACTCAACATCTTTAACACGCCTGGTATTTATTGTTCACACATGAATATATACTAATCAATCTCCTAAAAGTTGTTGTACGATAATATAACTAATTTCATTTATATATATTTACTAAACTGAATCTCTTAAATTTATGTAATATTACGTACATCATCAAACTCAATCTATTTTTATTTATATCTCTCTCTAAATTCGTCATGTACGTATATTCATTTTTTAATTATTACTGCAAGGAATGTGATTTATGGTTTAATTTATGCATACTAATAAAGCTTATATTTTTTAATTATTTACTCATCAGAATGTGCCAGTGCATGTGATTATCGGTGTTCAGATACTCAGCACAGGAAGGCATGTTTGACTTACTGCAATATATGTCGCCAGAAATGTTTGTGTGCGCCATCGGGAACATATGGTCACAAGGAAGAATGTCCTTGCTACAACAAATGGAAGACCAAAGAAGGAAAACCTAAGTGTCCTTAATTTTTTAGATATTTCCCTAAAACAATTATGGAATTATGAAATTATTTTAGGTGTTTATTGAAATATTGATGATCTTGTAATGCAATGACAGATCAACATCTATAAAATAAAGTTTATTTCATATGTTTTGAGTTGGCTATCGTTTTTATTTCGGTCCTTAACTTTCCATGGCAATGGATTTTCTCCTTTTAAGGTTTTAATTTTTCGCAATTAAATGAAAAAAAACAATCAACTTCTAATTAAAATCTTCTCAATCACAAGTGGAGATAGATAGATTAGAATTCTCTCACATAGTTAAACGCTAGCGTTGTAAAAAGTTATTTTTTTAACAATTTTTTTTAAAAAGGTTGAATTCTTTAAATGCCTAAACTAATCAGAAATGCAAAATCAAATACCTAATCTCTCATTGCAAAATAATCTGATGCAATGGCTAGGACAAAAGTTCATGAGAACGAAGAAATCATATACATATATATATAATAAAAGAATAAAAAACATTCTTTTATGAATAACAAGTGTCCAATTTTTCAATTACTTTGATTCTATGAAGCCACGTAAGATATTCTTCTTTCAAAATTAATTACTTTTAGTTCGTGAATATATTTAATTCTATTAAACCTTCATTACAATAACTTTGAAACTCATGTCATGATTGCTATTTAAAATTCAGTTGGTAAATCAGATTATTCCCTTTTATTCCAATAACATCCTAACTCCACAATCCATTGAGGATTCATACACATAACCGCATTGTACAATCTAATATAAAATACTATTTTAATTAATTCGAATCAATTTTAGTTGATTCAATACTTTCGATTTAGATATAATTGTGTTTGGTTATTCAGATTATTCCCTCATTCCAACTTCTTAACTCCACGATTCATGTAGGATCCGGTATTTTTGATTCATTATTTTAAATTAATTTTCAATTCATACGTATAATCGAATGTTATGATTCCTCTTTTAATTAATTTGAATAAATTGGAAGTGATTTGATTTAATTTTAAAAATTGTATTTTATTAATATAATTCCTTTTAATGACTAACCCTTTATATGCAGATTTTAAATTTATTTTTTCCTACTATAATTATTTTATTTTATTCCTTGTTTCTAATGAATAATCCTTCATTTAGTTATTTTAGACTTGCAGGCCATGTTTGGTATGTAGTATCGAGGGGTTGGGTTTGTTATTGGTATTGGGAAAGGCCCAATTTAATGTGTTTGGTATGAGACATTAAGCCATACTTGGGTTTGCTTAAACCCACAAAGATGGGATTGCTTAAACCCATCTCCCCCATGGTATTGAGAAATCAAACCTGGGTTTGTTCTATTTTATGACAAAACTACCCATGGTAATAATAATTTTCGAATAAGAGTGCCCCTGTCATATTTGCCCTAATAAACTTTGTCAGTCTCACATACCTGAGTTGCATACCTCAAACGCCATCTCCATTGTCGACTTGCTCCATCGATCTCACCAATCGCTCATCGTCGTCAGGTACTATCGCTCATCCCTCTCCTTCGTTCGTCTTTTGTGTTTCTGGGTTTTGCTTTTCCCTTTAATATATTTTTGCTTCTTCATCTTCTTCGCTCTGTCAAGTATTGTTGCTAGTGACTCTGATTGTTTCATCTGCACTCTTTATTTTTGCAGCTAGTCTTTATTTTTTTATTATTATTTAGGATAAGACGACATTCAATATTTAGGAGGGAAGGGTGTAGGTAGATGGGACATACCATTTGAAGAAAATGACACTCTAATGCATAATAAATGGATGCTTAGGAAGTTAATGGGAAAAGGGTACAATTAAAATCTACTAGTAAAAGAAAAGAACGAGTAGAAAGCAATATCGCAAAATCTGCTAACAATGGTCTTTTCTGAGATGTTTCCTTTACAGCCTTCCTACACATATGCTTCCCAACCTTCCTTTTCAGAATTAAAAAAAGAGAAAAACAATAAACACAATTATGTTTCTGCTTAGACTTCCTATTAAGCTAGTATATAAAGTACATACACACCCTTATATGATCAAGCACATTTCATGGATTTTTAGTTTTACAATTTCATAATTAGCACTTCAAGCATTGAACAAAGCACAAACAAAGAAAATAATCTCCTTTGACAAATAACTCTGGATGCATCTCCTCAAGCATATTTTCAATGCAAGATTGATCAAAAAATGTTTAGGAAATTTTTGCCCATTTTGATGTTGCATTACTATTAGTGGTATTTTATCTTTGAGATGAACTTTTATTGCTAATTAATATAGCAACAGAGTGATTGAAAGTCCTATATATTATAGAAATTTATTGACCTATTGTCCTAGTTTACTTAAAAATGATAGATAAAGTGATTGGTATTTTTTTATATGAAAATTTTTTTATAACTTTTTATAATTATTAATCAAAAGAATTTATATATTTCAGTTGTTATTATAATTTTATTGAAGAATGTTGTCATTGTAATTTATTGTTAACCATTAATTAGTTTTATTCCATTATATATGTTAAATATTAATCTTTTATATATCTATATAATTGGTACACAGTTATGGCACTATCTGAAGGAAAGAGAATACTTGTACATTTGTTTCTCTTCTGGATGAGCATGACTGAGGCAGTGTATGCATTTTGTATTTATATGTGTATGACTATCATGCCAAGGAGGCGAAGAATCAGACATGTACCTTACAAAATGGATTTTATTGCTAAGAGATCTTATCTAAAGAGAATGATGTCTAGCAGTGATGCAGCATGTTACAACTTACTTAGAATGCATAGATCAACATTTGATGTAACATCCTGAAATTTTAAGACTCAGATTTATTTTAAAAAAATAAAATATCTATAATTAAATTAAAATAAAAAATAATTTGATAGAGGTCCAGAGTTCGAATTTTACTTAGCAAAAGTTTAGTTTTATTTTATTTTTAACTATGGAAAAATTATCAAAATTGACCCGGGTTTTTATGCTATAATAAAAAATATTGGGCCCTTTCTTGTAATTTTCTCC